AGAACCATGAGAATCAGAACAAACAAACCTGCTGGGACTGTGTAAATTGCCAGCGCTTTTGGCCAATGAGTGTGCTTGGAAACACCTCCCAAAATCTCTCCCCAGCTCTGAAGCTTAAAATTCCCACTTATTGCTCCCTCTACCTTGTGTATAAATGAGATTTTTCATAAAAATTGAGGTGAAATTCACATAACTTAAAATTAACTATTTAAAAGTGAGCAATTCCATAGCAGTTAATACATTTACAATGCTGTGCAACCACCATCTCTCTCTAGTTCCAAAACATTTTTATCACAACGAAATAAAACTCTATACCCATTGAGTAGTTATTCCCTATTCCTCCCTTCCTACAGCTCCTGGTTACCACCAGTCTGCTTCCTGTCTTTATGGATTTGCTCATTCATGTCAATGGAATCATATACTGTGTGTCCTTTCTCATCTGGTTTATTACATTTACCATATGGTTTGGAGATTCTTCCACAGTGGAGCATGTTTCAGTACTTTGTCCCTTTTTCGTGGCGAATAATATTCCACCATGTGGATCTACCACGTTTTGTCTATCCATTCAACTGTTGATGAGCCTTTGGGCTTGTTTCTACTATTGTGAATAGTGCTGCTGTGAACGTTTGTGTACAAGTATTTGTTTGAGTCTCTGAGATTCTTTTGTTTGAGTGAGATTTTATAGTTAGCAAAGTCCCTTTATGTCCATTCTGTTCCTAGTAAGGAGGAGCATGCATTTTAACTAGTCGTATTACCCCCAAGGGGAACATGTTAGGGCCTCACTCATCAGTAAGAATCACTTCGGCTTGACTAAGCCTGTCAGGCCCCAGTGTAAAATCTGGTGCAGAAGAAAGTGGTTTCCAGTTTGGAGGGTCCTTCTGGTATGGAGAGGGTCCATGTCTGAGAGCTAGCCTAGGTCATCTCCACGTCTGTTATGTCTATTACAGTTCTGTTGGTCAGTCTGTGCACAGTGGGGTGGGGGTAGACACAGCTCTCAGCAGCACCCTCTCCCTCATTCAGCTCTTATTTACTGAGCTGTGCACTGTGCCGGGCCCTGGAGTTACGAAGCCGAGTCAGACATGGTCCTTGCCTTAGAGTAGTGGTGAAGTGGGCACTACATAATATAAAGTCAGAAATGCGTAGAAGTGGTGTGATAAAGGTGCTGGATGGGGGGCGGGGGGGAGTGGAGTGGGCAGTGACTAACTTTCCCGGGGGGGTTGGAGCATTGGGTTCTTAAAGACATAAAGGCAACCACAAGGTGAGAAAGAGGATGGAGGGAGCGCTGGGTCCCAGGAAGAGAACAGGCGAAGCCAGGAGAGCAGCAAAGTGCATTCCTTGTTTGGAAACTACCAAGGTCAATAGCATGGCTAGTCTCATTAAGTTCACAGGCTCATCAGGCCAGGAACCGGGCTGGAAAAATGGGCAGGAACTAGGGAAAGGCCTTGTGTACTACAGTCAAGAAACTGTGGTGAGTCAGAAACTAGGATGAATTTTAGGCAGGAAATGACCTGATCAAGTCTGTGTTTTGAAAAGATCCCTTTGTAACAAGTGACTGATGAACCAGTCTCCCATACCCTCCCTCCTGGTCTGCCTTCTCTGTCATCTCACTGGCCGTAGGCTGGCCCTGGACTGAAGTGCAAGGCCAGGAAGATTGCCTTCCTCTTCACACACAGACCTCTCATCAATTGCCCCACCCTCCTTGTATACAACTTTCAACAAAGATGAAAGTGCCAACAGCAGTTAATGAAAAATCCATCTATACTGAGCTCTTCCTGACCAAGTATGTCATCTCTCCTGGAAGTATTTGAATTTAGAAGTAGGCCAAGCTCAAACAAATGAGTGAACTGTTCATGACGGGAATTCAGCCACCCAGGGATAGGCCCAGATAGATTCTGATAAAGTTGTTTGGAAGATTAAATGAGGTCATTTGAGGGCCTTCCCGATACCCTCACGCCATAGCCCCTCCTGCTCATCTGTATACAGTAAGGTGCCCACCCCGACTGCCCGCCATCCTGTAACACTTCCGTTTTTTTTTCTTTTGTTTTTTACTTTTTATTTTGAAATATTTATATTTAAGAAAAGTGGCACAAGTAGTACAGAGTTTCCATATGCTCTTATCCCATTACCCCTAATGTTAATGTCTTGCATCAACATGGTACTGTTATCATGAGTAAGAAATTAACATTGGTACAACACTACTAACTAATCTACAGACTTCATTCCGTTTTCACCAGTTTTTCCACAAATATTAAGGGCTTCTTTGGAAATCATGTGTCTAAGGCAACAGTTGAGTTTGCTTTCTTGTCTGCCTTAAATTGAGGCACGCTTCAGAAACCCTGCTCTCCCTGGAAACAGTAAAGAGAGCGCCAGCAGGCCTCTGATGATCCAAACTTGGCACAACTCCACTTTGGCATCCATTTGGGGTATTCTGCGTCCTTTTACTCCCCATACCCCACCTACCCACCCATCCTTTCTCCTCCTTTCCTGCTCCCCACTCTCAAAAAACGACATCGTGGGCTTCCCAGACCCCACACTACACAATGCATTGTTTTCATTTTCGGAGAACTCTCGAGAGCCTTGCTCCAGACCCGAGAGGTTTGCCAAGGAATGTGTAGCTATTGACTCCCACTGTCACTGTCAAACTCCCGTGGTCAGTGTTTCCCCATTCTCGATCTGTGGTGCTTCCTGAGTGGATACTCCTACTGCTGCCACGTTGGTCATCATTGCTATCAGCTCGCGTGACCATCCCTCATAAGCTCCTTGCTCTGGGGAAGGGGGAGACCCCAGAGGTAGAGGGTAAACTGTGTTTGCTTTTCCCTATCACATGACAGCGACTTCGGAAGGTTGAGGGGCTGGTAACACAGTAACTAAATTACCTTTATGAGAAACAGGAGTGCCCATCACAAAGCGCCCGGGCATCCTGACATCACGTTGAGGCAGCTGGCACATGTTTGTGCCAGCTGCTGTGATGAATGGCCAGAATTCCGTTTGCCCTCTCCTAGTGCACTTTTCTTCTCCCTAGAACGCAGCCTCGGGCACGCTCGCAGCAAGTGCCCTTGCACTCTTTCTGCCTTGCTGCTTCATGTTTTTAATTTGCTGAGCATGGAGGGCATCAACGATGAAAGAAGTGTGAGCTGGAGAAAAGCATAAAGCTGATTAATGTTGGAGGAGCATTTGTTCCCCTCCAGCCACAGCCAGCTGGGAAAATGGAAGGGATGAAAGGTGATTGCGACTTGATGTTTAAAAGAAAATCTTTGTGCTACCCAGCAGATACCAAAACATCTTCACAGTAGAAGGCCCCCGGAAGCAATGCAAAAATGTCTATAACCAGCCATTTGAAAGGAAGCTGTATACCATGGTTTCAAGTGCCAGTCTGGGGCAAATCTAGTTCTGCTTGTTGTGTCACGTTAGACAAGTTCTTTGCTCTTTCTGACCCTGTAGTTTTCTCATCTGTAAAATGAGAATAATTACACCTTCACCTTCTGTATAAGACTGTTGTCAGGATTAAATGACTTAATATTGATTTTATACATAAATGAAATTTAACAGTGCCTGGCACAGAGTAAAGGCTCATTACAAAGCCTCTTATTTGTTATTAGGCTGATTTAATTTAAAGTAGTATTGAAAAGTAGAACATCATTACGGATCCAACAGCCTGGTATTCAAGCTTCAGTTTGAATTTTGAGTTTAAATCCTAGCTCCACAACTTACTGGCTTGGTGAATCTGAGCCAGTTACTTAACTTCTCTGAACTTGAGTTTCTCCCTCTGATAAATAAGGATAATGACACTGCACAAGGGGCTACTTTGACGAAAGCACTTAGCATAGTACTCAGCACAAAGAGTGGCAGACACTTAATACATGTTTATTTTTCTAGTGCGGTGGTTCTCCACCGCATTCAAATCACCTGAGACCTTTTTAGAACGCATGAATACCTAAGCTGCATCTCCAGAGACTGACTTAATAGGTCCGAGGTGGGGTTTGGGAACTGGTATTTTCGAAAGCTTCCTAAAGGAGATTGTATAAGCAAACAGGACTGAGAACTACTCCCTAGCAGGTGACATTACATACTGTTTTTTTTTAATTTTGTTTGTTTTGTTTTTTGTATCTGTCCCCAAGAGACTAGCCAGAATATCAAGAATTCTGGGCACAGTCAAAAATTTAATACACCTGTAGCTCTAAGCCCTTGATAAGAGATACGCAGCCAAGGAATTGCATTCCATTTTATTCCAAGAAACAGTATTCAAAGGGTCTTCTTAGAATCTTGAACTGGAAAGGTGGTAAGAAGTTTAGCCTAAGCCTCACACATAAAATATGGAAACTCCCAGTAGGTCAGGGATTTATATCTGGGGGCAATTCCAGGGTTTTGTCCTCCCAAGAGATATAAATTGAGGCCTTGAGGGTTTAATGAGGGGGAGAAAGAAGTGTTCTCATAATGACACCTTAAAAATCCAGAGCTCTGCTAATGCCTAGGGATAGAAAAACATCGTCTGTAATAGTGGGGGTGGGAGTTGGGGGGGTGCATTCTGGTCTCCGGACTTCAGTCTCCAAGATCCCAAGGCTGGGTCATCGAGAAACTTCTTTCTCCCCATAGGTTTATGATTAGCTACCCAATAAAAGTGGGGCTAATTTTACAACCCAAGTAAAACTTAAGCCAAAAACACTTCAACATTAGGATTTATGAAAGTAAACACTTAGAGTGCTTGCAGGATTTTGCAACATTAAAATTTCAGTGTCTTTATGTCAGGTATATGATATATTCATTTGTACGTGTACTTAAAGGTTACGTTTTTAAGAGCTTTGCACTGCAAACTATTTGGAGGACTACACTGAAGATACTGCTCCCATCTCCACCTTCAAAATGACTGTTTTAGTGAATAGGGAGTAGAAAGCAACTGAAAACCAGTGTCTTTTAAGGATCAGCTCTATCAGATTTTTTCACCCGGTTTCCTATTCTAGTGGGCTTTCTAGACTCCCTCACTGAACCCTCAGGTGTGGAAGTCCAGGGTCACAGCACTGACCACAGTCGATTTTACGAAGCAGAAGCTTAGTAAATAATTCTCCTTTAAATAAATGTCTTCTTCGGTAACTGTAAGTGCTTAAATAATAATTGTATGTTACCTCAGTGTAGCACCTTTTAAAAGCTTTTACACAACTTGATAGGATCCTCATGACTGTGACTTACAGGGTCGAGAGGTCAATTATTAGCTTCATCTTATAGATAAGAAAACCATAGCTCAGAGGACTTGGGAGGTTGCCTAAGGATATGCAAATGTTAAATGTAGAAGGAGAATTTTGTTCTCCTGATTTTTGCTCTAGAAGTACTTTAACTTAGAAGAAGCCAAAGAGGAAAAATGATGCTTTGTTCAGATGATGTGTTGATTCCAGCCAGGTTAACGGGGGAGGAGCATCCAGGCTAGAAGTCCGCCCATAAGCCTGGCAGATAGCCTCTTCTGCTTGGCTGTGGTCTGCCTTTCAGAAGCAGATTGATATTCTGTACTCTGGTGTCTTGAGCTTATCATAGGCCCTTGTGGGAGGTTTTGGCCTCTGTCCTTTCAAGCTGAACCTGCCATCTTGGGTCCTAATCTCCAGCCTTAGATCTCCAGCCATTTGCCAGACTGTCACTAATCACATCACTTTCTGGTATCCCCTTGTCTTCAGAATAAAATCTCTGCCCTCCCTTTTATTATTGTCATTTGAGGCAGCAAAAATTTTTTAAAGATTATTTTTTTTAAGTGTTAGGGGGATTATGAAAGCAAGTATCCATTAGCATTTGCTCTGGATTTCCTGGGATTTAGTGACTCATTTGAAATTGTCCGGTCCGTGGTTTGCCATGGACCTCTCTCTGCAGGGTGGAGACAATAGGTCTCAAGCAGGAGCCACGTAACTGGACTGCCCTCTGATTTCTTTCCAGCTGCCCCCAGCTTCTCTCCCCGTGGAGTCTCCTAACTGACATATCAGTCCGAGTGTACCTTGGGGATAACGCGCCCACGCCTTTGTAGCAAATGAAGAGGAAATAATCTGTGCTTAAAAAACAAAAAACTATAGAACATGTGCCCAGATTTCCAACTCATTCCCTCTTTACTCTTACAACTACATCATCTTCCAGCCCACCACCAGCTGCGAAAATAAAAGTGTTTTCTCCCATATTTAAGGATGATTTTGTGCTTCAGGATGATTTTCCTGGGGGTGAAGGAAACTTGACCGACGTGACCAACAGGTATTTTAAACGATGGAGGGAACTGAGGAAAAAGTCGGATTCGTTAGCCCACTCTTTAGGATACTGTGCCCGCCTGCGCCCCCTAGTGACTGTCTGGGGCATCGCGTAGTCAGAGCCAACTGCCAGTGTGTACTGCACCCTCTAATGTCTGTGCTCTGTTTTTAGAGATGAGTACGAAGAAGATGGATTCTGTCAGCCATACAGAGGGATTGCGTGTGCAAGATTTATTGGCAACCGCACTGTCTATATGGAGTCTCTGCATATGCAAGGGGAAATAGAAAATCAGATCACAGGTAGGTAGCAATGAAATTATATTTATACCTTGCATAACAATTTTTCTCGCCAGAAGTTTTACTGAGCTCTTCTCTTGACAAAGGATTAGGCTAAGCATAGGGGTTAGGAGCAGGGCCATAAAGAAGCAGGAGATGCAATCTCTGCTCTGGAATTTACATTAGAATAATTTATTGAAGTTTGCCCTTGGAGGAAAAGGAGGCTTTGAGAAGTCTCACATTCATTCAGACACTCAATAAATATTATTGGGTGCCTTTGGCATACCAGGACCTGGGCTGGGCACTGGGGATGTGATGCTGTGGGGAATAAGCCAGGTACGTTTCTGCCCTCACAGAGCTTTATGTTTGGAAGCAATGTTGTGTCGACTGAAAGCAGATGAATTTAGAGCCCATAATTCTGGATGCTAATCCCAATATTGCCATTACTGTGACTTTGGGGAAAGTCTCTTACTCTCTATGGAAATCTCTTTCTTTCCCTGTGAAGTGAGCGAGGAGGCAGGATGATCATAGGTCTCTTCCTGCTCTAGCTTTCTCTATTTTACCCTTCACTTTCCTGAATTGAAAGTATCTTTTTCATGGAAATCTAATAGTGAAGCACTACCTAGCACACGTGAGGTACGTAGTGTCGGCCACCTTGCACGTTTTCATACACCTAGTTCTGGTGGTTGCGGCCGCCCGTGCCTCTCCCATTAGTGTAGTTATTATGCCTCTGTGCCCTGTACCCTGGCAACACATTAAAATGACCTTTCTGAAATTCTAATAAGGTTGCCAGCTTTAGCACTGAAAAATACAAGACACCCAGTTACATTTGTTAATTTTTTAAGATGAGTATGTCCCAAATGTTTATCTGAAATTCACGTGTAACTGGGTCCTTTGTAGTTTACCTGGCAACTCTAGGATCTAAGAGAGGCAAGAACGAACCCAAGGCAGGCACACAGAACAGCCAACAGTCCAGAAACTATGTCCCGTGAGGACATTGAAGGAGCTAAGAGAGGGCCAGGGGAGCTCTTTAACCCGAAGAAGCAGCTGTAGGAAGATGTATTTGCCCATTGCGAAAGCCCTCAGGCTTTCAAGCAGAAAGTCTCTGTGAAATTCCAGAGCGGAAGCAGGACTGTTGGGGAGGGGCTATTGAAGAAACCTTTCAACCTAGTAAAAGAACATTTGAACATACTTTTTACTAAGTATTCACAAAAATAAATGGGAGTTCTGATATAAATATTTGGTCACCCAATTATATTAATCCTCTCTTGGACATTTTCAATGGACATCAGCTTACTGGAAAGTATTAACATTTTTTTAAAAATCCATTTAACTTTTTTAACACAGCATTTCCCAAACTTGTTTGCTTATGGAACCCCAACTTCTCAAACACTTTTAACATTCTACAGAATTAATGTTCTGAGGAACACACTTTGGGAAACAGTGTACTAACAACCTCTTAGGCTGCCTTGTGAGTGTAAGCTCCTTGTCAGTAGAGTTATGCAAAGGCTAGTGCTCTTTTTGTACAGGGATTAGAGGTTAGGCTAAGTGACCACTAATATTCTATAATACACACTGGAACAAATGACTTGTGCTCTTCGAGAACTTCCAGATGAGTTGCCTCATTTTCAGAAGATGGAATAGAAAGTATTCAAGCCACAAAGAAATTAAACAAGTTACCCAGAGTCATCCAGCAACTCAGAGGCAAGACACAAACTAAATCCTGTGATCGGGCTCAGTCACTGCATAAAGCAAGTTCTGCCCTGCAGCTGTCAAATGTTTTAGAAGCCTCACAAAACTAATAAAAAGTACCGGATGAAACACAAAGTTCTGTTGCTTTGTAGTAAAAATGAAAAATATATTGTACTTTAACCTAATTAATTCTTTTTATTAGGAAACCGTACATATGTAACTTAATCCTGTTTTTTTAACTTTGTAGTCAAAATTATTTTTTTCAAGCCAGTGAAAGTAAGCTGCTTAGACATCTGAAATGAATCTCCTTCTCTTGGCCTTGTCTGTTTGAGCACAGCAGATTCTTTCCAATGTGTGTTTACATCTGATATCTGTTGACTAGATAACCGGGAGAGATAAACCCTGCCCCTGGGAGTTAATAATTGTGTTTGTTTTCCAGCTGCCTTCACCATGATCGGCACCTCCAGTCACTTGTCAGATAAGTGTTCTCAGTTCGCCATTCCTTCCCTGTGCCACTACGCCTTCCCATACTGTGATGAAACCTCATCTGTCCCAAAGCCCAGGGACTTGTGTCGCGATGAATGTGAAATCCTGGAAAATGTCCTGTGTCAAACAGAATACATTTTTGCGAGATCAAATCCCATGATTCTGATGAGGCTGAAACTGCCAAACTGTGAAGATCTCCCCCAGCCAGAGAGCCCCGAAGCTGCAAATTGTATCCGGATTGGAATTCCCATGGCGGATCCTATAAATAAAAGTAAGTGGTAGCCCCTGACCTTCTGTGCTGCCTCGGGGGCCAGCAACCGCATGAAAAGTGGATCTTGATCCCTTGTAATGATTCGTGTTGATAGTCAGACTACCTTCCAACGGGCCAAATACTGTGTCGGGCTGAGCATTCAGTGGTGGATTAGATGCAGTGCTTATCTTCAAGAAGTTGCATGACGATGATAATTTTAAAATATGGTTTCTGGTTCCTTAATAACTTAAAAATAGAATTTGCCATATGTCCCAGCAATGCCACTCCTGGCTATATACCCGAAAGAATTAAAAACAGGTGTTCAGACAAAAACTTGTATAGGAAGGTTCATAACAGCTCTATTCACCACAGCTAAAAGGTGGAAACAGCCCAAACGTCCATCAGTAGGTGAGTAGATAAATACATTGTGGTATATCCACGTAATGAAATATTGTTCATCCATGAAAAGGAGTAAAATCCTGTTACATGCTACAACATGGCATGAACCTTGAAAATACTGTCATAGAAAGAAGCCAGACACCGTTGTATGAGTCCATTTATATGAAATAGCCAGAGTAGACAACTCCATAGAGATAGAAAGCAGATTAATGGTTGCCAGGGGCCGGGGGGAAGGGGAGAGAGGGCAGTGACTGCTTAAGGAGCATAGAGTTTCTTTGGGGGATAATATAAGTGTTCTAGGATGAGACAGAGGTGAAGGTTGCACAATATTTTGAATGTTCTAAATGCACTAATGGTAAATTGTATGATATGTGTATTGTGCCACAATTTAAAAAATATGTATATGGAGGCTTACCTCCATCCTCCTTTGTCTCACCTCCATGAAACAAAAGACTGTTTTTCTATGCATTTCCCATGTGCACTGGCATGGCAATGGCCCTAACCCCTGTCAGAAACCCATAGTGCCCTGCTGCTAACTAACATTTTCTGAGAACTAGATTCTTTATTACAGGACTCATGTGCAGAAATGGAAGAAACTGTCCCTGCACCATTCACTAGGAAATGACTCCAGTGCCCCCAGGTCCCACCCCAGTTCTGATTCTTTCCTGTGTTCAATATCAAAAATACTTGTGGAGGACTGGTTCTCTTCCTGAAGCATAAGCTGTAAATCCTCCCAGGAATGTCACTGCATGGCCCACTCTGTGTCCCATCAGGGAAGCCTCAGCCGTGAGGGTAATCACATGTCCTCCCTCCAGAAACTGCTGGCCAGGAGCTCCAGCACCTCCTCTGCTTCTCTCTCACAGTTTGGGCTCTTCTTCTGTGTATTTCAGATCACAAGTGCTATAACAGCACAGGTGTGGACTACCGGGGAACCGTCAGTGTGACCAAGTCAGGGCGCCAGTGCCAGCCGTGGAATTCCCAGTACCCACACACACACACCTTCACCGCCCTCCGCTTTCCAGAGCTGAACGGAGGGCACTCCTACTGCCGCAACCCAGGGAATCAGAAGGAAGCTCCCTGGTGCTTCACCTTGGATGAAAACTATAAGTCTGACCTGTGCGACATCCCAGCATGTGGTAAATACCGTCATTGCCTTTAAAGGATTCAGTCACTTTAAAAGATCCGCACTCCATGCCCCTTCCCTTAGGAGAATCGTGTAAGGGGGCAGAGGAGACTGATAGTGTTTGTTTGATCTCAAACTGTTTCTAGGATAGATAAACCTTGCTGCTTTGACATAAAACATGTTTTAGGGTACCAAAGCACACTCTCAAGGAGGAAACTGCTTTTATCCCTGCAGCCATTGTGTTAGTGAGTATAACAGGCACCGTCTCTCCAGAAGTACAGCTTATCACCATCATTCATGTAGTGAAATGTGTTACCCACGATGGTCCGTGTCCAGGTGTACCTTTTTTAGCACTACAGGTGCATTGGAAGCAGAAAGAGAATTGTTTTCCCTGTGTCCTTAAGAACGCCCACAAGGGAGGATGAATCTATAGCCATTACTCAGTGATCCAAGGCAACCTGTGGATAAACTGCGTCCTTCGTCTCATCCTTTTATACTGCAGAAGTATAGAAAGAAAATGAAGTTTCTGAATGAGTTTGTTCCTTTTTCTAGAAAATGTTTGGAAGGTAGGAGAAAGAGAATGCAAATGCTGCTGATACCTGGAGTCTCAGAATTTTTTGGAACTGAATCAACTTCCTTATCCTAGTTCTACTGATAATGTCACCTGAGTTTCCCAGGCATAGTGGGAGAGTCAGGATGTCACAGGAAAGCCACACCAAGTAAAATGGAGCTAATAATGATATACATCCAGGGTTTATTGAGAGAATAAATGAGTTGATATCTGGAAAACTCTACAATGTCTGGAAGATAATAAATGTTTAATAAATATTTTCTAGTATAATTATTATATAGTCAATATATAAAGAGGAATTTATTATAATTAGTATGTAGTCTTCACATATAGAGGAATGCTTGCTCTCAGTTTAGCAAATATTGTTTGAGCCCACTATGGAGTCAGGAGTGTGAACAAGGAAGAAAATACGATTCATGTTACAATCGCAATGCAGTGTGTGTGATACGGGAGAAGTTAGCACAAATGCTGTGGAGTAAAGAAGAGGAAGCTAAAACATACTACAGAGGCCATTAGGAAAAAGAAATAAAAATATTAAAAGAACCCTTAGTGATAAAAATTTGGGAAACTATTATACTACAGTTTCATTCTTACGTGTTACCTGTTACCACGGTATCTTTTCCTGCAAAATGATTTTATAGATGGTTAAACATACTCAGTTTGAGAAAGAGGTAAGCAGACCCTTTTTGTGTCGCTGGGCTTTAAAATGCCTTCATATGCAGCATGAAGAACAAATTATGAAGTTAACTCGTCCAGAGCCACCACTGGAAACATCAAAGCAAATTATCCTGTATTTTTTAAATGGTTTGCACTTAAAGTTTATGACTTTTCCCACATGCTATATTCAACATTAATAGGAAAGGAATAAAACAAAATGTAGATTTATAATCGTTTACTTAGTTGCCTCATCCCTTCTCCTACACCAGGTAGGTGTGAAGATTTGCAAGAGAGCCAGGTATAAAAGCAATACTTACTGAGCATTTCCCATGTGCCAGGCATCATTCTTAGAGTTTCAGAGGCTTTATTTAAGATAAGGGGGATAAGAGGGTTAAGAATATCCTCACGTTGTGACAGGTATTCTTAACCCTATGCTGCCAAGGAAGAAACAGAGGCTCAGAGAGCAACAGAGTCACCCCGCTAGTCTGTCTGACTCCAAACTCATCTTCCTGCTGCTTCACTGTGCTGTCTCAGGAGACTGATGTGTGGCCTTAAGGAAACCAAATGAATTATTTTAAGGAAGAAACACATTGTTTACTCGACTCTGGGTGAACACCGTTGTCCTGTAGGTGACTTCTGACCCTTAATTTCCAACTATAATCCTCATCAGCAGTAGGGAGATAATCAGACATAGCGAACAGACTTGTGGTTGCCAGGGGGGAGGGCGAGGGGGGGAGGGAAGAATTGGTAGTTTGGGATTAGCAGATGCAAACTAGTATACATAGGGTTGGATAAACAACAAGGTCCTACTCTGTAGCACCGGGAACTATATTCAATACCCTATGAAAAAGAATGTATACCGAGATATGTATATCTGAGTCACTTTGCTATAGAGCAGAAATTAACACAACATTGTAAATCAACTATGCTTGAAAACAATTTTTAAAAATAATATAAAAAATAAAGAAGTAGGGAGATAATTTACTCATAAACCGGAAGATTTGTTGATAATCGGATTCAAGCTTTATTACAATTAGTTTAAGTCAAGATTCGAAATGATACCTAAAAAAAGTATTGCTTTCCATTTCAACCCTGTTCCTAAAGCAGTCAGACAGACACACTCTCCAAAAGGTGAAAGAAACCCTTGAACAGTCTTTCAGACTGTGGACACAGAAAGAACGACCACCTATGTTACCTACCATGTGCCTGCATGGTGCTTTGTGCTTTACATCTTCATCTCCATTTAAAACTCATCACCACGCTATGGGATAGATGTTATTAACATATTCCACCAAGGTTCAGAAGGGTTAAAGGACTAGTCTAAATGAGACAATTCATGGGATTGGACCTTGAACCCTCGTCTATTTGCACATAGCTCTGACCAGACTCAAAGTTTGCACTCTTTCCCAGACACTCTGCTGTTTCCCATTTAAAGATTTTTCAGAAATAAATAAAAGAGTGACAATAGGCTCAACCTCTGGATTTCAGTATACTGAGTCCCATAACATGATACGACATCTAAACATGTTCCCTTGCTGATGAAGAATTCCATCATAGTATTGCTCAGTATATTATTATTGTATTAATCAGTACAGTGATGTTGGAAACCCTAAGATATTTCTTTTTGAATATCAGTCTGCATAATTCTGAGGACTGGTTAATTCTAGTCATATGAGGGATAAATTTAGATGAAAGTTAAATCTGCAGATAACAAGCCAGTTTTCACCACTTACAATAATACTTTTTTTAAAAAGAAACTTTCATTTCATTTGGAAAGAAAACAGTTCCTTTTGAATTCTTCAGGCCAAGCCACAAATACATCCATTAAAGGAACAGGGAGTCCTTGACATGTGATCAATAAGAAGCTGCTGAGAGGCCAGCGGCTCCCCAGGGTATGAAATAAAGAAGAGAGCAGGTCGGCATCAACTGTTGCTCCAAGGCAAGCCTTCTTGTAATTGCCCCTTCATAGCCCACCTGTAACAAAATAATCATACTAGAATCCTACTTTTCTTTTCTTTTTTGCGGTACGTTGGCCTCTCACTGCTGTGGCCCTCTCCCGTTGTGGAGCACAGTCTCCGGACATGCAGGCTCAGCAGCCACGGCTCACGGGCCCAGCGGCTCCGCGGCACGTGGGATCCTCCCAGACCGGGGCACGAACCCGCGTCCCCTGCATCGGCAGGCGGACTCTCAACCACTGCGCCACCAGGGAAGCCCGTAGAATCCTACTTTTATAACATTTCATTAGAGCATTTGATTTTTTTTCTCATTTCATCCTTACAAAAATCATAAAAGATAAAGCAGGAATTTCCTGCCCTACTTTAACATATGAGACAACCAAGGCCCAGGGAAGTGGTAGGACTGACCCAAGAACACAAATTAGTTACCAGAGACCAGGTCTCCTATCCCTAGGGCCACTCACTGCTGTTTGTGCTATACCAGTGGTTCTCAAACAGGGAAAGTTTTGCCTTCCAGGGTGCATTTGGCAATAGCTAGAGATATTTTGGTCATCGCAGCTGGGTGGGGTTGGGGGATGCTACTGGCACCTATTGTGTAGAGGCCAGGGATGCTGCTAAACATCCCAGAGTGCACGGAACAGCCCTCACAAAGAATTATCCAGCCCAGAACGCCAGTAGTGCCAGGTTTGGGGAACCCTGAGACTGAGTAAGAATTATACAATTTAGACTATAGAATATAGCATATTGTATATACTGTATAAATTATACAATTTAGACTATAGAATAACAATATTAAACAACAGTTAACATTTACTGAGTGCTTACAAAAAGCCACTATGCAAAGAGTTTTTTATGCATTATCTCATATATAATAGTTCTATAACTGTATGAGTTGAGTTTTATTCTACCCAAGAAGAGAAAAATGAGACATAGGTTAAATAACTTGTCCAAGGCCGCATGGTTAATAAGAAGTAAACCCAGGACTCAGAGCTATAGCCAGTCTTGTAAATTCTATGATTTATATATATGTGTGAGTATTTGTGTGTTTATGTATACAAATAGGTAGGTAGATGGATGGATACATAGATGATAAATAGATTGGTAGAGATAGGATAAGTTTGCATCTTATAATGAGGTGTAAGCTGTGGGGCATATCTGAAATGAGTTATTTGAGAGAAAGGAGTCTCATGGGAATGTTCCTGCATTCTTTGTTAAGTCAAAGTTAAGGAGGTTTCAAAATCTCCACGGGGTTTCTCATTTTCCTACTGATATCTTTTGTTTTCATTTCAACTAAGTAAGGCTGAAAGAAGTATAGACCTAATTAAATGCAGAATGTGAGCATTTGTTGTACTTTCTAGAATAAAGGCACTTGAGAACAGTCTGCCCCAGATTGTTTTATCTGTGAACTTTTACTCTAAGACAGAACATAAAATTAAACACAACCAAATATATCTGCTGTGAATTCTGGGAATTGGCTCAGCGAGGGCTGTGTGCGTGTGCCCAGGCAGTGCCTGGGAAAAGCTAAAGAACAAAAGATAGTTTGAGCCAGACTTGACCTCTCATATTCCCTGTCTTTTCTTTCCTATCCCAGGCATCCAGCAATTAGAATGGTTATTATTTATTCATTCACTTACTAAAGCCAATATGTGTTGAACTTCTACTACACTTTAGATTTTGCTAACAAGCCACGCCCTCGTGTAGCTTACAATCTAGTGGAAGAATCAGGTGAAAAAAATACAAATCGCATTAAGCACTGTCTTACAGTTCCCAGCGTTAATGTGTGCTGTTATGTGCTTTTCTGTTTGTGCCATGATGTCTGCTGTTGGTTGA